GCGCTTAGTCCGCGATCTATACGATAGGTGTCTTTGTTTAACTTACAGGCTAAAGAAGGACATCTATTGTATAGGTCGCGGCCTAAATGCACGGTATAATCGTAGCCACTGACATCTATTGTATGGGCCACGGCCTAAATGCACGGTGTAAACCAAGAAGACTAGAACCAGGAGAGTCAACTCGGTGTAAAAGAGGTAATGGGGGTGAGGCAAAAAGTGGCGACGGATGACTTCCCCCACTCTTGCGCTTCATTAGTCCTCTCTGTCGCTCTATATAATCGTCGCTCTACGGCTCTTATATCGAACTTTCACACAATGCGCAGTGTCACTGCACATCGTGTGAATAACCGCGGACATTTTTTTACCCCACCACGAGAGTTGACTCTCCTGGTTCTAGTCTTCTTGGTGTAAACGTAGGCACTGACATCTATTGTATGGGCCGCGGCTTAAGGGCTGCCGCACACACCTTCCGTAACAATAACCATAAGACGCACCGTAAGAATTAGCCAATCACAGTCGAGAATTCTTTTGAATTCGTAATTCTGATTGGCTGATTCTTACGGTACGTCTTATGGTTATTGTTACGGGAAGTGTGTGCGGCAGCCCTTAGCGGCCTTATGTTATGTTTATGCTCTGTTATGCGTTTCATGTGTGAAGCCCTTTAAGATCGCTAACTTCTGACTTGCGGCTTATTATAGAAGGGCTGTAACACTTGTCATGCGTTATGACATGTGTTATGTGTCATTTGTGTCAGTAGTAGCCAACTTACATCTCACGAAATCGGTATTGCCAATAAACGCTAGCGGCTAGCTTTCAACAGAATAATTGTAAGCTACGAAATTTTTTTTAATTTAGGGGAAAATATATTTAAAAAAGTCTAAATTACAAGTTCTTCATTCTTTCGAAAGAGAAAAGAGAGAGGTCTTTTATTTCAATCATTTTTATTACGAATGTTATGTATTTGAAAAGTTTCAGAAGTTAAAAAAAAGAAACATAAATTTTAATAAGATTTTAAATAAAATTAAATAAATTCTATGTACATTTAAATTTCTATAATATATGTAAATTGTATTAATTCATTAAATTAATAGAGATATATGATATGCGGTATTAAACAAATTGATTACGTTACATACATATACAAAATTACATATTGCGCCATACAAAATATAAATGATTTTCTATCTCAAATATACATTATATTAATGTTTATTAATTGCAAATATTTTATTTACAAATTTGTTAATTATAAGGAAATTATAAATATCGATGAATTATGCTTTTCTGCGAATTCTCTTGGCATTCTGTTCTGGTGAATAAAATGTAATACACTAAAATAAAAATCCATATTATTTATATATTTTTGGACACATAGTTTTATATAAATATATATATATATGTATATATATGTGTGTTAAAATAATAAAGAAAAAACACACCTGTTGATCTAGAAAGTTCATGAGATTAGGCAACTTGCATTTAAATCCATGTGTTTGCAACATACAACGCAAATGGTCAATATTCACTGGCTCATATTGTAATATTTTATTATGTAAAGCTTTATCAATATTGATTAGTTTCATAAAGGCTTCTGTAATATTCGATGAATTCTCCAGTACCGATGATGACTCGGTTTCGTAAAATTCCATTTCTTTGTTGAGTGTTTCTTTTGTAGGACTTATACTATTATTGCTGTAACAGAGAGATATAATGTCTTTTATTATATCTATATAAAATGTCATATTATGTTAAAAAGATTAATTAGTATTTACATTAATTAGGTTTA